CTAAGGTTTAAAAAAAAAAAACATCACACCTTTTGTAACTCTTTTTTTAGAGATGTGTTGCTCATGTCCATTCCATTCTAGGTGTGCGCGCGCCCACATGTGCGGTCGTCGGAGATTTTTACCTTAGCAGTATCTATAGGGCCGCCCGTGGTGCCCCCTTGAGTGCCGTGCCCATGCGCTGGCATATCAGGTGCCGTCGGCCCTACGCCCTCTCAATTCCTTCTTGTCGACAACTCAGACAGAGGGGTAGGAGGGCAGGCAATGGAATGGACATGAGCAACACATCTTGAAGAACAACAGTTACAAAAGGTAGGTAACGTTTCTTCTTCTTTGATTGCTTCCTCATGTCAATTTCATTCTAGGTGACTCACAAGCAGTATCAACGGAGGTGGGCTCGGAGTTCCAAGTCTTGCATCTTGCAGCACAGCTCGGCCAAAGCCAGCATCCTCTTGAGCTTGCTGGGTCAGCATGAAATGTGATGCCGTGTGGACGGACAACCAGAGAGTGGCTCAACAGATCTCTTGGATCGCCATCAGGAGAACCTTTGCCAACTCAGAGCAGTAGTGGATGCAGGCTGTAATCCAGGATGAGATTCTCTGAACAGACACCAGACAACCTTTCATCCTGTCCGCAACCACAATGAACACCTGTGTTGACTTACAGAACAGCTTTGTTCTATCTATGTAGAATGCCAAAGCCCTCCCGACGTCCAGGGTGTGAAGCCTGCGTTCCTCATCAGACAGAAGACTGGTAAGTATATGTCCTAGCCAGTATGAAACTGAGAAACGACCTTGGGCAGAAACACCAGATGCAGACGCAGCTGGACCTTGTCCTTCTAGAAGACCATATAGGGTGGCTCCGAGGTGAGCGCCCTGACCTCAGACATCCATTACGGCAACCAGGAACGAAACCTTCCAGGAGAGAAGCAGGAGGGAGCAGGAAGTCAGAGGCTCAAAGGGAGGTCTCATGAGCCTTCACAGCATAAAATTCAGGTCCCGGGGAGGGGGAAAGAGGGATGGATCCCGGACATGTGGATAGAGGCGCTCCAGACCCATCAAAAACCGTGCCGTCATAGGATGGGCGAAGAGAGACTTGCCCTGGAACGGAGGATGCAATACTAAAATGGTAGACAGGTGGACCTTGATCGAAGAGATGGACAACCCTTGGAGCTTGAGGTGCAGCAGATAATCCAATATGTCCTGCAGTGAAGCCTACTCAGCCCTAAGATGCGTCGCTCTGAGGCCCAGCACTCGAACCATTTCCATTTAGCCAGGTAGGTTGTCCTGGTGGAGGGTTTCCTGCTACCTAGCAAGACATGTTGGACACAGGTCGAGCATGCCCACTCGTCTGCGCTTAGCCACGCAGTAGCCAAGCCGTCAAGTGCAGCGCTGCCAGATTTGGATGCAGCCGAGTGCCGTGGTTCTGGGACAGCAGATCTCACCAAGGAGGCAGTGGAAGAGGCGTGGCTGCCGAATGGCTCAGCAACGTGCCAAACCAGTGCTGACGGGCCACGCGGGGGGCTACCAGGATAACAGTTGCTCTGTCCTGCTTGACCTTCACAAGGACCCTCTGAATTAACAGCACTGGCGGGAAGGAATACATCAGTGCTCCCGACCATGGAATGGAGAAGGCGTCCAAAACGGAACCTCTGTCCAGACACCGAATCAAACAGAACGTATGGCACTTTCTGTTCTGTCTGGATGCGAACAGGTCCACTTGGGGAATCCATCACCTCTGGAAGATTATGTTGACCACCTCTGGATGGAGTGACCATTCGTGGCGAGACGAGACGGTCCTGCTGAGGTGATCTGCCAAGAGGTTCCTGGTGACCAGCGACCAGATGAATGGCATGCCGCACACAAAAGTCCCAAAGATTGAGCATCTCTTGACAAATGGCCTAGGACCGGGCAGTGCCCTGTCTGTTGATGTAATACATCGTGGTGATATTGTCCGTCAGTGTTTTTTTATATACCTTTCAGCTTCTCTCAATATGTCATAAAGCATCAAAAAAGGAACAAGCCAATTTTTAAAAAATTCTGTACAAATTAAAACTAACTTCTGATTTTCTATCTTTTTAAAATGCTTTCCCTCTCACTCTCCTATACAAAAGAGTCCTACACAATTCTTGTAATTTTTTTCTGCCATCTTTTAATGTTCATTTGATAATACCAGCATTCTTGGCAAGGCTTCAACAACCAAGTCAATGGTTTCAACCTTAACGCCATCTTAAAGGTTTTATTATGGACAGTTATGTTATTTTATGAAGGGTGGATTAAGGGATTAAGATCTTTCTGGGAGATAAGAGATCAGAGAAGCAGAAGTAAAGAATTTTATCACTAAAACTGACTGGTTTTAGACCTCACAGAAGATAATATTTTGATGTTTGGTATATCACCATCTACTCCCAAAAACATTACTTATTTTACATTAATTTATTTCTATTTTATTAGAAAATCATAAAAACACAGAAACGGTCATATCAAACAGACCAGCAGTCCTGTCTCTTAACACTGACTAGTAAATACAATGACCTTGCTTCAAAGTGCTTATTCTAATGACCATAAATAAATAAAAATACAGGAAGAACTCATCTGGCAAGTGGAAAAAAGGAAGGGAAGAGTACCTAAATATGGTTATGATTTTGCTATTGCTTAAGAAACTTCATGAAAAGGTGAGATTTCAAGAAGGAGACTGCACAGTGTAAGGGGCACAGGGACAAAATATAAGGCATAGGGGATACTGTGGGAAGAAGTGCCCAACATCTTATGTGGACAGATAACAAGTGAGAGACTTTGAAGAACAAGAGTTGGCAGTGCCCAGACTTAAATAAGAGCATAATGGAGGAGACTAGATATTGACAGCAAAAAACCTGGAAACACCATTCAATCACTTCACTTTCCTTCCAGAGACTACCACAGCCTTGAACATTTGATATGTAGTACAGAAAATATAAAGCTTTTCTTAAATTGCTCATTATATTCCTATAATACAAAAAGATTACATTTAATACTCATACTAATGAAACTGAAAAATTATTATACTGGTTTATCTTCCAATTACTATGAATGTTGATCTGTACTAGGAGAAACATGAGGAATGCAATCACAGAAGAATGCCTTTAAGCAGAACTTGTCTATGAATGCATGATACAGGTACATCTGAATAAAAAAAAAAAACAGTCTTTTGAACACTAACATTTTGACTATCAATATGAAATAATGATTTAGTAAAATATCCCTCTAAAAGCAGAAATGTCATACTCTTGCATTTTCTGTATTTCTAATGTCATTTAATTTTGACTGAACACTAACATGCTACTCTGTAGAAGTTTAAGACCTGAACCTGCAAAGGAAATCAATTTCACTGGATTTGGATTTTGCAAAGACATAAGGAAGGGTCTGTGCAAGTGGACCTCTCTAAAGGATCATGGTCCACGGTTTCCCTGACAGGCTGCGTGCCAAAGGTTGCCGATCCCTGATCTATACTGTAAACTTTTGTAAATGTAATTTAAATGTTCGGATTAATTTCGTAAATGGGCCTATAGATAAGCTGTACATTCTGTATCTAGGATATAGAATATATAGCAATGTTATATTGTGTACATATTTTACATTATGCACTTGTATTAACAATTGGTGAAAGTAAACAAGTAGCAATAGCAGCTCCGTAGACTTTCAATGCAGATTAATCCATTGTCCAAATTCAAAACATCAATCTAGTCTCACGGTATTTATGTAAAATACATTAATCTTTCTTATTATAACAAATCAGATGTTAGTGTTGTTTCCAAGTATGTCTGAAAAAGCATTTGTACAGAAAAAAATCATTTAGAAATTGCACCAAATGTTACTTGTAATTTCCTCACCATATATTTTCTGGCAATGGAACCTGCTCCAACTGACTCAACGGTAAATAAAAACATTTTAAAATTATGCTTTCACAGCATAAGTTTTTTGTGCAGATCCAATTTTGTTTAAGTGGAGTCAAAACTAACATCATGCATACACGTTTCAAACATAAAAATCTATATATCAACATGACAAATGGTACAGTATATGAAAAAAAAAAAAAGAATTTTAAAGAACATAAGTACATATTACTAGTTTCTTACTTTATCCTTCCCCCACCTCCCCATACATTTGTTCTATTCAAAGTATCTACTACAAATATAACTGAGAAAAACACAATCAAGAAGAATAATCAACTTACACAAGACAGAATACGTTCCTCATAAAATTTCTGAAAGAACTAGTCCAGGTGACATTTAGCCATGGTAATCTTACAGTTGGATCCTTTAGCTCAAATATTTGACATCAACAATTTTCTTATGCATGACTTTACTTTTTAAAAATCTTGATTTAAAAATAGGAATTTTCTAAAGAAAAGCCAACAATGCCTTATGATTGTAACACTCCAGATATATATTCTGTATAGCTATCACTCTCACATTCTAAACTTATAGTCATATAACTTTGCTTCATAAAAAAAAAGGTGCTAGATGGAAAATTAATACAAAATAAAAAGGCATGTGAGAAATACAACATAAAAAGTCAGATAGAGTATACTGAGGGCTGCTGATGCGGGGGAGGGGATGCATGTTTATATCCTATAAAGAAATTTAATGTAGATTCACCAGTGGTCTTTTCAGAGGAAGCGAGTTGTTTGTCTCCCCTAGTGGTTGCAAGGGAAAGATAACAGGAAGCAAGCATAACTAAAAAAAATTTTTTTTTTTTTTTTAAAGTAGAAAGAGAGGTCTGTACTGCAGCAATAAAAATTTGAGAAGCAATCTCAATAATAAAGGACTGTCAGCAACAAACCAATAACTTCCCTAAATCATAACTGCACTCGGTTCAACTGTGAGGAAAAAATGCTGAAGTGTTGAAATAATGTAAATAATTAAAGAATTATTTAAAGTAAATATACATTAAAATGTCTGTTGTATCATCTGCATTATCTTCCAATATTTCTGCCCTCCAATATGCAAGTTTTGTAATATTTACCTGTATCCAAGCGCTTTACAGGGGACTCATCATCAACCTCAGAATCTCCACATGCACTTCTTGATCTTTTCCTTGGCTGCAGAAGAGTCTCCAACCTTGGAAGGACTACAGACAAAAAGGTTTTGGTCCCTAGCTGTGGAGAAGTTGGCTGGGTTTCAGTGTTCTTTGCAGACTTTGGGGGGCTTATACTTTTTGATTTGCAGAAGAGAATGGATGTACGTCTGTTTACATCAGTTGATGACTCAGCTACAGCAGAAACAGTCGACTCATTGAGATTACTGTCAAGTAAGTGTTCTGGAGTGTGTCCATTTATTTCTTTCTGAATGGAAGTGCTATATAATTCATTATCAAATTTTACTCTTTTGTAAAGCTTACTCTGCTCTGGATTGAGTTCTACTGGTTTGAGGGTTGGTGGTTCTGAATTAGTCTCCAAGTTTGAAGGAAGAGGTAATGCATCTGATGGTTCAAGTTTAGGGGGAGATTTATCTCCTGAAAAAATTATAAATAGAGTGTGATTTTTGAAAACTGGTAGTTATAAAATCTATTATAACACTCACTATAAATGTGCAGCTCAACAAATAATTGTTGTTTGGAAACAAACCATAACATTTTAAATACATAAACGTTTGGCTAGCAACAACCTATCCTAGTTAGTAGTGCCTAGTTTTATACTGGGATTGTAACAAAATAGGTGTTTACATTTAGTGTTAAAAATTTAAACCTGGGCAGGTATTTTAACCTTACATGCAATGATATTTAAAATCTTAGGTATGAGAACTTTTTACAGAAAAGTAGAGTAGCAGATGATTTGTATCTGGTAATGCAAATATTTAACCATTAACATTAAAAGTCTGAATAAAATACATTTTCCTAATTTAAATATTCATCTTACCTGTTTAAGTTAATTTAAATAAGAAAAGCATTTTTAAAGCAGATAAAAGCCATTTTTAAAAATTGCATTTATAGCTTAGCCTATCAGAATTAACTAAGAGTGGGCTATAAACCATTACCAAATTCACAAACTGGAAAGTTCTGCAAAGCTACTTTACAGTTATGGTTACCAGTTTTAAATTTTAAAATGAAGAGTTACTGACAAATGCTTGGCAAAGACATCTTTGCAGACATTACAGGAGAAATCAGAAAAACCACCCCTCTACCAATTTTTCTTTTCCCCCTATCCAACCCAACTGTCAATTCTGACTTTTGTTTTTCTTTTCTTTTCTTTCAATTTCATGGTGTAGAATGGCAAGACACACATTGTGGGTGTTTAGATAAAACCAGTGCTAGAAAATGCTCTTTAACGCAAATGACAGGAGAAAAAAAATCTGTTCTACAGAATTCAACAAAACGAGCAAAAATTACCCAACCTATCGTTTGCAACAGATAAGTGTAAAAATTGTTCATCTTTCCTATACCTCTTAAAAAAAAAAAAAACATGTTGAGACATCTACCTTCTTTCTCTACAGGTATATTGCTACATTAACAAAATGAAAAGGCTATATCTTTACAGGTAAGCATTTATGCAATCAAATGTAACTTGTTGCACCACAAAAATAATAGTTGGTGTAGAACACAAAAGGATCAAACATATTTAACTAATCTCATGCAGATTTAAATTTACATATGTATAGTGCACATAAACCAGCCAGAAAGTCTGGAATTCTATTGACTGAAATGATAATTCATTAGTTTGTCATTGTTTATTTACAACAGTGCCCACTGTGTGGTAAATGCTTTCTATACACGCAAAAAGGACCACCTTTGTTCTGAGGAGTTCACAATCTATGAATTAGTAATGAAACACCTAAAATGTTAAAATCTCAGTTGCATTCAAATCATTATGAGGTGGAATCCGGTGCTTCTCTTGTGAACTTACTCAGGACAGGATCCCAAAATGAGAATCCTGTACAAATGGTATCTTTAAAAAACAAATGTAAACTTTCTTTTTAAGCACCTATTTGATAAGAATGTTTTATATTGTTCCTCTTTATAAAATCAAAATTATTTGCAAGAAAAATGTGATATACCTCTACCTCGATATAACTATGTCCTCAGGAGCCAAAAAATCTTACCACATTATAGGTGAAACCGTGTTATATCAAACTTGCTTTGATCCAGCGGAGTGAGCAGCCCCGCTCCCCTGGAGCACTGCTTTACCACGTTATATCCGAATTCGTGTTATATCGGGGTAGAGGTGTATATGAGACAGAGACAATAAATAAATACCAATGGAAGCAACTAGCAAAAGGGAAGATTTAATCACATATTACAAAGCTGTAATTTTACTGAGGTACTCTGCAAATATTATAACTCTCAAGAATATAGACCTTTTTTGTGTGGTCAGAAATCCAAAATGGAATTATAAACATACTGGATAATCCATAGAACTTTGAGAGACTAACAATGTAAAAATTCCTCTACCCTGGTCAATGCCTGTTGTATTTATTTATTTACCGTATCTACTCGATCCTAAGCTGGTTCGTTTATAAGCCGACCCCCGCAAGATGGATAAGTAAAAAATGGAAAATGACCTGTTCATAACCCGACCCTATAATTCAGGGGTCAGCAAACTTTGGCTCCCAGGCCATCAGGATAAGCCACTGGTGGGCCGAGATGGTTTGTTTACCTCGAGTGTCCAGAGGCACGGAGGTAAACCAAAGTAAACAAAGTGTCCCAGCACGCCAGCTGCTTACCCTGATGGACCGGGACAGCAACTGGTGGGGAAAATTTTTTTTTGGGGGGGGGGGAAAGAGAGAGGAGAAGCTAGGAGTCAGGGGAGTAACCCCTGTGATCACCCCCCACATGACCCAACCCCTAGCCCAGGACCCCCCACACTCTCCCCATCCCATCCCTACCCACCTTATCTGGGGAGGGTCGGGGAGGATGTCTCTGACCTGGCTGGAGCTGCTCCAGCAGGCTGGGCAGCGCGGCCGCAGCCTGCTCCGGCAGACCAGACCTGGCGGCGCAGCCGCAGCATGTTCCAGCGGGCTGGGCCGTGTGGCCGCAGTGTGCTCCGGCACCCAGGCGGCACGGCCACAGCCTACTCTGGGGGGTGGGGCCGAGCGGCACGGCTGCCAGCCCCGGAGCTGCAGCTGCTTTGGAGGCGGGGGGCGGGGGGAGGGGAGGGGAGAGCAGCGTGGCCAGAAGTGGAGAGACTCCAGCCATGCCTCTTCCCTTCTGGCTCTGCTGCCTCTCCTTGCTCCCTCTGTTGGGGGAGGGACTATGTCCCACCTCTCCCTCTCTATACCCGTTCATAAGCCGACCCCCGTCTCTGGTGCTTCCCTAATTTACTAAAAAAAATTCGGCTTATGAACGAGTATATATGGTATTTATTTTTTTAAATAACTACTAGGATCTACTTGCCTGCATCTCCCATGTCTGTTTTGCAATATGTTTCCAATTCTTTTCTAACTCATTTCTACTCCAGAGTTTAAATTTAAGCTATTTACAATCCTTAAAGGTATATGAATTTTTAACTGTATATTTGACTTACTACATCAATTCTGAATAATGTTAACACATTTTTAAAAAGTACATTTATTTCAAGTATATGTAATAAGTGCATGTCTAACCACTATGCATTTTATTTATATACACATCTTTTGACTATTTTAAGATTCAAATGTATGTAAATCAACCTGATTTTTTTTATTGTTTTAATTATCTGTCAGTAAGAAAGTTCAGAAATAAATGTCTTCAGTTTTAACAAGACTAGGGAGATAATTTAAGAAACTTTCTTATTATTATTAAATAGTTATTCTAAGACAGGGGTTCTCAAACTGGGGTCAGGACCCCTCAGGGGGTCGCGAGGTTATTACATGGGGGGTTGTGAGCTGTCAGCCTCCACCCCAAACCCCACTTTGCCTCCAGCATTTTTAATAGTGTTAAATGGATAAAAAAATGTTTTTAATTTATAAGGGGGGTTTTACTCAGAGGCTTGCTATGTGAAAGGGGTCACCAGTACAAAAGTTTGAGAACCACTGTTCTAAGAGTACTCGGAAATCATGGAACTAGTTGAAAAGGCCAACTGCAGTTGTAATTACACTGTGCCTCCATATTGCAGCAGTTTATATATTTTGAAAAACATTTTTATTAAGCTAAGAGACTTAAACATGCAATTCCAAAGATGGGTAAATGATGGGGCAGTTAAGGATATCTGATTTTTTTAAAATACTAACTTTCAAATGACTTGCAAGCCTCAAGTTGTACAACAGCTAGTCTATGTAAATACATAATCTTATTCTGACTATCATAATCTTTCTTCTCCCCCCCACTAGGGTTGCAAACTTTCTTAATCGCACAAAAACTAACACCCTTGCCCCGCCCCCTGTATCACCACTTCTCTGAGGACCACCTCCTGCTCACTCCATCCCCCCTCTATCACTCGCTCTCCCCCACCCTCACTCACTTTCACCGGGCTGGGGCAAGGGGTTGGGGTGCGGGAAGGGGTGAGGGCTCCAGCTTGGGGTGCGGGCTCTGGGGTGGGATCAGGGATGAGGAGTGTGGGAGGAGGCTCAGGGCTGCAAGCTGGGGTGGGGCCAGGGATGAGGGGCTTGGGGTGCAGGAGGTGGTTCAGGGCTGTAGCAGGCTGTTCAGGTGCAGGAAGAGGTGAGGGCTCTGGGAGGCAGTTAAGGTGCAGGAGGGGTTCCAACCTGGGGCAGGGGATTGGGGTGCGGGCTCTGGCTGTGCAGCTCTTACCTCAGGTGGCTCCCGGAAGCGGCCGGCATGTCCGACTCCTAGGTGGAAAGACCAGTGGGTTCTGCGTGCTGCCGGTACCAATGGTAGCTGCGGAGGTGATGCTTGGGGCAGGGGCAGCACGTGGAGCCCCTGTATCGGGCCCTGCGCTTAGGAGCCAGACATGCCAGCCACTTCTAGGAGCTGTGGAGAGCCAGGGCAGGCAGGGAGCCTGCCTGAGCCCCGCTGACCAGACTTTTAGCGACCTGGTCAACAGTGCTGACTGGAGCCACCAGGGTCCCTTTTCGACAGGGCGTTCCGATCGAAAACTGGACGCCTGGCAACCCTACCCCACCCCCACCCTTCTGTCCTACTCTTTATTATATTCATATTCTGCATCCTTTTACTTCACTTCTGGCAAATTCCACCAACAATAAACTAAACAAAAACCAGCCTACAGTGCATGGGTCAGAAGGATGAACTACAAAAGGATGTGTTTAGTGGCCAACATTTTCAGCACTGAATGCCTAAAGTTAGGGTCTTTAATCCATGTGCAGTCACTTAAGTATGAATAACACGACTTTCAAAAATACTGACCCCATAACTTTCAGTATAAAGTAGTAATTTTTAAAACTTTAATTTTGCTACCACTTGTTAGAAATTTGTTTTTTTTTTTTTTTTTTTTAAATGGAAGAATACATTTCTCGCAGGAGCAAGGGGAAATTAACCAGACAATAGATTTTACTCATACTAAAGGTAACAGTATAGTTCATTTGCAGTGTATTAAACTTGCCCTGAAATCATATCATAATAGAATATTACTTTCTACTGTGGTAATTTACATGACAAATTTAGGATATTTAATTGAAAGTGTTCAAAATAATACGGATGTAAACACCATCTAAAATCTTACCTTCTTCTTCACCTTCTTGTTCTAATGCTGCACTTTCCTCTTCAAAACTTCCAATACCTGATTCTATTTGCGGAGGTTGGCTGTGTTGTTGACTTAGTTTGTTGCGAATAATGCTGATTTCTTTCTTTAACAGCTTTGCTCGTTTGCTCCTTGACCCACTGGATTTCATTGCACAGGTGAGATCAAGTTTTTCTAACAACTCTCTCAGCTGTTCTTCCAAGGACATATGCACTCTGTTAGCTGGATTCAGTAACCTATCCACTGAAGTCAAAACATGTGTAATTTAAGATATCTGTTAATGAGAATTTTTTTTACAAAAACTACTACAAGAAAAAATATTTGTTAAGTTTCATGTTTTGGAATTAAAAATATAAAAATTAAAATCGGACTTTGGCCACAAGTTGATGCAAGTTTTATAGTCTCACTATCACTAGTGAAAAGGTGCCAGTGTAAATTCACGCTATGCCATTTGCTACAACTCTTGTTAGTTAGCATTTTTTGCTTCAGACATCCAGAACTGGAATAGCAGGGACTCTATAGGTCAGGACTGAGGTGCATTGATGAGGTTCAACAAGGATAAGTGCAGAGTCCTGCACTCAGGATGGAAGAATCCCATGCACTGCTACAGACTAGGGACCGAATGGCTAGGCAGCAGTGCTGCAGAAAAGGACCTAGGGGTTACAGTGGACAAGAAGCTGGATATGAGGTGAAAGTGTGCCCTTGTTGCCAAGAAAGCTAATGGCATTTTGGGCTGTATAAGTAGGGGCATTGCCAGCAGATCGAGGGACATGATCATCCCCCTTGACGAGGCCTCATCTGGAGTACTACGTCCAGTTTTGGGCCCCACACTACAAGAAGGATGTGGAAAAATTGGAAAGAGTCCAGCGGAGGGCAACAAAAATCATTAGGGGACTGGAGCACATGACTTATGAGGAGAGGCTGAGGGAACTGGGATTGTTTAGTCTGCAGAAGAGAAGAATGAGGGGGGATTTGATAGCTGCTTTTAACTATCTGAAAGGGGGTTCCAAAGAGGATGGATCTAGACTGTTCTCAGTGGTAGCAGGTGAAAGAACAAGGAGTAATGGTCTCAAGTTGCAGTGGGGGAGGTTTAGGTTGGATATTAGGAAAAACTTTTTCACT